AAGCGGGTATATGAGCGAGTTTGGAAGAGGGAGCACTTTGGAAAAGCTGTGATCACTGGTATTTGAGAAACTCGATGACTTAATACCTAGATTACGGGTGCTCATTTAGTCCCATCTTTATGACTTGATGCATTCCTTTTAGACAACAGAATTTATCGTCAACCTCCCATGGGCAATGCGCACCCTTCACTTAACCATCGAGTGTTCGAGGGGCAAACAGGAGTTGACTAGGTTCTGTGCTCTGTCGCGTCTCCACCATCCAGCTTGGCGTCGGATAATCCGGTGAAGACACCACCGCCCAGGGGTTTTCCGGGAGTATTGCTAGGGCACCCTTTCTCTGAAGACCTGGAAAGACTTGAACAGTTTTTTCCCTGTCATTGAGAAGCAGAAGTGGTGTTTGCAGAGGCTCCCGCTTTATGTAAGCTAGCGCAGCTTGACTTTGAACGTACGAAAAATGTGAGATCAACCGTAAGTTTTGACTGTCTTCTGACAATCCGAAGAGACGACATTGAATAGATCTGAAAAGCATGCGGCGTCAATGGCTGGTCTTCTGGAATCGCACGGTTATCATCAACTTGATGCACACGACAGTGTGGCATCGCTGCAGCGCAGCTTTCGAAGTGGGCCATGCTTGTTTAATGGTAATATTAATTGAGCTTCACAAAAGAGAGGTCTGGGTCTGAAGCATGTCGCCAAGACCGTGTTAATCAAGGTACACCGGGGGCAGCCAATGAAGTGCTCGGAGTGCTGGGTTTACTTGACTAAATTTGCGTGAAAGGGCAAGATTCGGAAACCTTAATTATCTGTAGCTCATTAGTCCAAAGTGCCAAGTCTCGGAGCTGTACCTGTTTGTAGCGCTTTCAATTATTCAAGGGGGCACTTCTAGGCCTAATTCTTCGGGGTTGTTCACGATGGCGCCACGAAGGACTGAGTACAAAACAGACTCAAACGGCAGTCAAAATAGTGCGCCCATAGGCGGCAAACTGTGAAAAAAAGGTTAGAGGACAGAAGGCTTCTTCATTGCTGGCGATTCTTGCGCTCATTCTCACCTGTCGGTCTATTGATTATCAGAGTCCCTGTCGTTTCCAGACACAGAGGACCAGACTTCACGATCATGGCGAAGCTACTAGCAACTTTGTCAATATTCCTTGCGGTGTTGCAGGCTGCCGCGGCAGCCTGCACTCAGCCAAGCGTGCGTAAGCCTTGGTAAGTTATCATGGATCCATTTTTGCGCCGTGGTCAATGAGCTGACTAGCGACTTGCGTAGGACATCACTGACTGAAGATGAGAGAGCGTCTTACATTAATTCGACGTTATGTCTCATGGACCCGGCCCAGGCTCCGGCACAGGTGGGAAGCTGGGGGGCCAAAAGCCGGTGGGAAGAGCTACTTGTTGCGCATATTGCCCAAGTCAGATACATCCACACAGTTGTAAGTGGGTCAAAATGAGTTGCATGAGGGAGTCGCACTGATGACGGCTTCTTACACAGGGCGCATTGTTTCCATGGCATCGCTGGTACACTAAGATCCATGAAGATTTGCTTCGAAACGAATGCGGCTACACCGGCCCCTACCCGTAAGGATCTTGCTCCTGGCATCCTCGGATATACGAACTGCCCTGCTGACATCAACTCGTAGTTATTGGGACGAGCAAGCAGATCAGGCCATCAACCCTATTCAGAATGCGAGCGTCTGGGACCGTCCTGCGTCAAACACTTCAGCCGTCGCCGGCTTTGGCACTGGACGGACCGACCAGGACAACTGCATTCTCGATGGTGCCTTTGCGGGATACCGACTCGAAATTTCAACGCAACTGACGCGCAATGAGACCGGAAGCTGCCTCACTCGCGGTCTGAACCAGACTGCCTTCGATACCGTATCACAGAAGAATGTCGTAGAGCCATGCATGGCAGTGGAGTCTGACGACTATGCCGAGATGATGAATTGCTTGGGAAACACGCCGCATAGCGGTGGGCACCTCGGTGTGGGCGGTATTGTAAGTTGACGCTTTCAGACAACAGCAGATGTCTTAGTTAACCAAGCTCTAGATGAGAGACCACGCCAGATCCCCGGCCGACCCAATCTTTTGGCTGCATCACACAAACTTCGACCGCTTGTGGTGGAACTGGCAAGCAGCCAATTTGACGTCCCGTCTGTATGCTATGGGTGGTCCGAATGTGGCAAACGGTCAAATCTTTATTGATGCTCAGCCCGCCATCCTCCCTATCGAGGCTTTCGTGCCGTACTTTGGAGACGGTGGCAACATTACGACATTGGATCACGTCATGTGGATGCCTGGTCTGGCTGAGAACATCACAATAAGAGATGCAATGGATATCAGGAACGATCTCATGTGTTTTGAGTACGTCTAGATGATGCACGCAAGGAAGTACTGTATGGTAGTACAGTTTCAATGGTAATGAGAAGAATTTGAAGGGCTTAAATAATGTCCGATTTTCATTCATTCTTCTTATGATATGAGAGAGAGGCTAGGCTAACCCATTTGTGTCATCATTGTCCAATCCGACCCAGGCCCGCATGCACGCAGCCATTGCGCTACTTCCTCCCGCCGAGTCTTCCATGAACATCATGTTCTGTCTTTCAATGGAACTGGCCTTCGGAATTGTGCACTCATAGTACGAGTCGTCCTCGGGTTATTATGTTAAAGGTGTAAAGAGGTTCGTGCGTTGCTTGCATTTAACGGTTTTCACAATCTACTTGCGCACTGTAAGAAATCCGGATTCTTATTTTAAGCAGAGCACTTTTATCTATCCCAGTCTATAAGCCGAAACAAAACCAAAACCAAATCTATCAGCAATCAATGAAGCGGTACTAAGTCTAGTGTGAACACCCCGTCGAGTATCCAAAGTCAAGTATGCGTCTAGGCAGAGGCCTTTCCCTTTCCCTTGCCCTTGTCCTTGCCCTTACCCTTTCCCTTGTCCTCGGCCTTGGGCTTGAGAGCGCAGTTGTGGGGGTTGCCGCTGCCGTCAGCCTTCTCCTTGGCGCCGATGCCGCAGAACTGGAGGTTCTTGTTGTAGAAGACGCGAATGGGACCGGGAGAGTTGCCGCCCTTCTTGGCGTTGTAGTTGTAGGCCTTGCCGCCAGGCAGGACGGGGAGTTCCCAGACTTCACTGGAGCAGCCTGAAGCGAAATTCATGACGTTGCCCAGGTTGCCAAAGGGCTTGGGGTAGCCGCTGGAGCCCTTGGTGGTCTTGGCGGCGGCGACGTCGCGCATGGCGTCGGCGAGCTTGATCTCGCCGTACAAGGCGCCGCTGTTGCTGGAGCCGGCCTTGCAGACATAGACGTCCTGGAGTGGCGAGGTTAGCAATCTCAGGGATGAATGATGGGCGAAGGCGCTGGGTTCAACTTACATCGCCGGCACGGATCTCGATGATGCCTTCTCCGTTATCAGAGAAGGACACCGGGGAGGCAACAGCCACGGAAGCGGCGAGGAGAGTAAGAAGCTGAGTGAAAGAAACCATTTTGACTGTTGGAAGGAGTGTTGGTGCCGTTGGAGACGAAAGAGTGTGGTGATATTGTCGTTAGAGAGTGTATTGAGTGAAGAAAAGGAGTGTGAAGGAGCTGTCTGAGTTGTGAGTGAATGATGAGCTGGGTGGGTGCACTAAACGAGTGACTTGGAGGCCTATTTATCTTCTTCGATGATACCTTCGTGATGCCAGAGACCGCCAGTACATCTCCTCATGCCATGCCAAGCCACATAGCTGAGCTCTGGTCTTGGTTCACAGCCCATGTTGAGTCCATTGTCAAACTATTTTCAGATGAAACTACCCTTGTAAGTCGATGTGAAAGAAGTTCAAGTGCTAGCATAAATCAGCGGGCATTACTCCTGGGCCTTGGCACGAACTGGTGGGCCTGTCGGGCAGAATATTCCATTAGGTTGTGTCACATCGCTATCGTTTTGTTTTCTCGCCGTGTTAACCGTACACATTCGGGGAAGCACAAAAGTTGTCTGATTTGTATGCGTATTTTGCCCCGAAATCGAGCGCAGCGTTTCACAGTTCGGACAATTTCATGCTCTATTTAGTCCCTGCATTCACACGATTCGCTGAACAGTGGACAGGCAGTTCGATTCCAGACATCTCTTGACGAGGAGTGTTTGTATTCCATACGACTGGAGTAATTAAGTGAGCAGACTGGAGACAGAGTTGACGAGATGCAACGCAATGATCCTCAATGGTGACATTTATGTTGAACGCTGATCGGTTCCTCCGTAGTTCTCCACAAACCCACTTGAATTGAGCGACGGGCAAATTCTCGCGAACCCCTCTCTCGGGCCGCTCCCATTATTCCAGGACAATGTCGTGGTGTCCTTCGCCAATCATGTAAGTGCGTTTCAGAAAGATGGCCCGCCACGGATCGCGGCAGCGGCTCCGGGTGAAAGCTGAGCTCTTAAGGTTTGGCGCCAAGTCTGTCAAAGGTCCCCAGTATTTGAACATTTGGACGATGTCGTGGGCCTGAAAAGCGGCTGTGCGATGCCCCGGACGTATCTACCGGTCAGACCGACGAATGAGAGCCGAAACCTTAAATTGAGGCTGAGAGGTTGTCGAGCGCTGTTTCTTGGGGGCTGATGAATGATCCGCATCATCCGAAGTCAAATGCCAGAAAACGTGATCCCTGCTCGATTTCATATTGACGGCCTGGGGCTCGAGGCCTCGTCCGATCTCGCTATATTTCTCGTTGACTGGCCGTTTCCCTGTTGTCTCGATGTTTCTGGGCTGGCGCTTTCGAGATGTGAGAATGTCATTGACTCACTCGGCGTATCTTGCTCATCACGACTAGTGGCCTGAGCCAAGGCCCCCAAATGGAGCCGCCTGGTATTAATAGATGCTGACTTTACTGATCACTTCCTCGGCGACAAATACCCTCTTCAGCACATATTTCAAACGTCTTTGACATCAGGAACTATCATCGCTATTTTTCAGTTCTTTTCATCTAAGCAAGCAGCTGAACTTTCCGATCTTTCAACCCTGAGACGTGACAATGTCGCCAGTGAAACTACAGCTGGAAGACCCTGGTGCCCCCGACTACGCCAGTGAGGTCATCGACATCCTCAATCCTGCTATTGCCTCTGACGACCCCTCATCCAAAAATGAGGCCGCGGCGGCGATCGACGCACTCTGCAAGCGGGAATGCAATACAGCTGGCTCAGCAGGCGGGTTCCTATGGTGGTTCTGGGATCTGATCCACGATCTCTCACGCCAGATTCCCTATGACAGCGAAGAGCAAGACCGATTGGCGGCAGTGATCAGGAGTCTCACTGATCTGCCGCCCAGGAAGGTCAATTTAGGCGAAGAATGGGGCAGTGGTGATGCGAGTACTGTTGAACTGTGGACTAATCTACCCATGTTTGGCAACACATTCCGCGAAAAGCTTGATGATGGTATGCGACACTATCGATCAATATTAAGTGCCAGTTTGCTGACGGTGGCCACTCCATAGATGACTCTGCAGCATCCTCGGAAGATCTCAAGATGAGTAGACGCATCAATCTCGATGTTTACGCAGCACGGATTGCAGGGCTTTGCCATCTGCCCTTCGAAGTCTACGCCATCTGGGCTTTGGCGGATTCATTGGAGGACACAACCGCCGATAATACAGGCCCTGCTCTAGAAAATCAGGTAGAAGGGAAAGCTAGAGCTCACAAACTCATAAGTGCTGCGGTTTGGATGATTCATGTCGGACACCTCCTGTACGGACGGGATGAGCAGATCTCCGGGGCTACTGCAGGGACTTTATGGAAGCAAGGGCGGATGCTCAAGGGAACGGATGGGTTGAGCCCCGAGCGGTGGCAGCTATGGAAAGGGAGGTTTGCAGTCTTTAGAGATGCTGACGGTGTGGACGCGGAGTCTCGCCGTGTCGCTCGAGAGGCGCACGCTGTGATGGAGAAACTCGAGAACAAGTCCCCGCAATAGCTCATAGCCGGATCCATTCAATATTCCCAAGGCATAAACAGAGCTTAGACCAACTTGACCTGCAGGCAGGTAGAGTGGGTGAGTGGCTTGAAGCTCAGCAAGAGCTGGTCTTGGTGACCGGAAAGACCATCTGTGAATCTTTCTGAGTGAGGCTCGCGTACAATTAAATTCATCAAGATGTTGAATCGCGATTGCCATAAGGAGCGGTAAAGAACCGAAAATGGCTGGCGTTAAAGTCACCGAGCATCTGGCAATTCGTTTGAGGTTACTTTCGAAGGACTGCCAGCAGCTTGGGATTGGGTGTACCACGATCAAAAAGAAGAAGAATCGAGGTAATCAGAGCACCGACTGCTGCCATTTGGACTCGAACAATCCCCAGAGACCCGGCCTACCCATTGTTCCATTGTTGATGAGACGGCCAAGAATGACAAATGCCTCCGAAAATGGGCAACCTAGAAAAAGCACATGTTATGGGGGAGATGGTTTGGAGAAGCCCACGGGCCAATACGAGAGCAGAGTTTGCTTACATAATACGTGATGTGGAGTCAGTGAAACCTTCTGTCGCGGCCCCCTTTATCGCGTTCTCATGGTGAGATTCGACGACGACCATCGCACCGCCTACACTCACAGCCATGGCCAAGTTTAAGCCGGCCCGGGATGCGCTGGTCGGAAACCCGCGCCCTGCATCCCAGCAGGCGAGGCAGGCCGCGATGAACTACATCAACGACGAGCGCAGTCCCGTTGTGCTCGATAATGGGTACGCCCCCAAATACTACGTGGTCTACAACCTGCGAGGGCCCGATGCGTACGGAAGGAACTACGGCATCTTTACGAACTGGAACAATGCCAAGGTCCAGACTGAAGGCTGCAAAAACAAAAGTACGTGCAGGGACTGGCTGTGTGGTCCGTCAGCCCCACCATGCTAACACGCGGTAATAAACCCAGACACTACTGCATCGACTTTCGACCAGGCTGTGAGTGAATACCTCCATATTCGTGAGCTAGGAGACTTACACACATTAGATGAATCTTCTGGTAGAGGGGCTCGCCCTCGAGATCGACGATGGCTCCTTGTTGAATTATCCCTTGGCACATCCAAGTCAGCCTACCGTGCCCGCTCCTGCGCCGCCTGCCCCGGTCAAGCGGCCCCGGGAGGAGGAGGACGAACCCGACCCCTTTTTTGTTGACGTTCGTCCACATAAAATCATCAGACACGAGGACAATCACCAGTCTGGTACACCTCAGTCACCAATCATGGTGGAGGATGATTCCGATCAAGAAGTCACCAAAGAGGGGCGGGATTTTGATGACGAGGGAGAAGCAATGAGGGAGGCGGAGGGGTTTGATGACGAGGAAGAAGCAATGAGGGAAGCTGAGGGGTTTATACCTCTCAGTGGCTACTCCAGTCAAACGAACGAGTATATCAAACGTGAAAATGATCGCCGGGTAGGCGGGGAAGACCCGCCAGTTGTAGAGGAGGCCCCAGAGCTTCCCCTCTGTCCTGAACAGCAGCACGCCCTGGATCTGGCCATGCAGGGCCACAATCTCTTCATCACTGGGTAGGTCCATCACTAAGGATCAGTAAAATCAGGTCGTTACTGACCCTCTCAGATCCGGCGGCTGCGGCAAATCGGTCCTGGTTAAGGCCCTCAACAAGGCCTTCGACGCCCAGGAGAAGACCGTCTACCTTGTTGCGCCCACGGGCCAGGCCGCCACAAACATCAACGGCAGGACAACATATTCCTACGCCGGATGGAGCACCACCGCCCCGGCGGAGACACTCAGGACCCTCATCCAAGAGGCCCGTCGCAGGAGCGTGTGGGAGCGCATCATGAGCACCGGCGTCCTTATCATCGACGAGATCAGCATGGTCGAGAGCGAGTTCTTCAACCGCCTCTCCGACGTCCTCATTGCGCTCCGACGGGAAGCGTTCCTCCGCAGCTACCCCACTGTCGTCGAAACCCAGACCGCGGAATCGGTGGAGCGACCATTCGGCGGCATCCAGGTCATCGCAGTCGGCGACTTTTGCCAGCTGCCCCCAGTACTGCCGTTCAGCTACTGCACTGAGGAGGTGGCGTATGACCAGTTTGGCGGTACTTCGACGCCGTGTGGGAAGATGGATTTCGACAAGAAAGGCAACCTGCACTTCTGTCCTCGAAACAGGGAGCACCCCAGCTTTCGGGATGCCGAAAAATGGGCTTTCAATTCGCGGACCTGGGAACAGTGCAACTTCCAGTGAGTATCATGATCCGTACAGACAGAGGACGCCGACCTGACATACTCGGCAAATAGATACATCCATCTAACCAAGATCCATCGACAAACCGATGAGCGATTCATCACAATGCTCCAGAACATCCGCCTGGGCCACACAAGTGACGCCGATCTCAACGTTCTGCTGGAACCTCGCCAAGTCAGGGATGGCATAGCCCTGTTCAGCCATAAGCAGAAAGCTAAGGATCACAACAACCGGGAGCTTAACAAGCTTCCCAGCCGGCCAGAGAAACTACTTGCCGTGGACTACCCTAGAGACCTTGGCGACAACAACGACAAGCACCGTTTCGACAAACAATTGACCCTCAAGGCCGGCATGCCGGTTGTGCTGCTGGCTAACGTGAGTTCCCCCCCTTCTCCGCGCCATCGCGCGCCTCGTCCCAAGGTAAGCTAGAGCAAGGCACTAACCGACAGCTGGCAGCTCGACGTCGAGAATGGTCTCTGCAACGGCAGCCAGGGCAAGCTCCTCCGCTTCGTGCGGACGCTGCACGAACACAACAAACCCAAAATGCCCGAAGAGAAGAGTTACAAGGGAGATCACTACGCCTACGAGCTCGCTTGCGCTAGATACGACCAAATGACCGACTACATCAATGGCGCATCAGGCGTCGAGGGTTGTGAGTCCTCCCCATGTCTTGAATTCCCCAGAAAGCTGTAGCCACGAACCGCTGATCCTCATCCCCACAGTCCCCGAAGTCATATTCGCAAACGGCCAACGACGCGTCATCGTGCCCTACTGCAATATGCACGACATCGAAACAGCGATGGAGCAAACCCCCCACGGGTCCAGGAAGGTCCTGACGGGGTACTCGGCGCGCACGCAGATCCCACTTGTCCCGGGCTGGGCCATGACCATCCACAAGAGCCAGAGCCTGTCGCTCGACCGCGTCATCGTCAACCTGGAGGACGTCTGGGACGGAAGGCAGACGTACGTGGCCCTGAGCCGCGCGCGGTCGCTCGGCGGTCTCAAGGTCATCGGGAACAAGGCCAAGATGAGGAGGACGCTGCCGCTGGACCCCGAGGTGAGGAAGTTCATGAGGGAGGTGGAGCGCCGGGCGGCTACGGTGGCTACGGCAGACGAGGCAAGTGGGTAGCTATTTCTTTTGAAAGGATCGGGTGGTGGGAAACGGGTTCTGAAGTGCTGGGGATGAAAGCGGGGGAAGGAGGGTGAAAAGATCACCCATTTTCGAGCTAAGCTGGCTTTTAGGAGGGTTTGGCAAATTCTGTAGGATACCAGCTAAAGAATTAAGGCGAGTGCCTCGGCGGTAACGAGTATGGGAGCATGTCCCTTTCTTTACCTTAATCTGGGCAGGTTTCGTCCCAGAGATGGTGTTGCGGAGTCTAGCGCACATACTTAAAGCCTACACAAATCAACACGGACAAGCAGGAAACGAGACGAGCGTTTCGACTGTCGACGGTGATCGGGGGGAATAGGCAGAACTCAATAGTGCGCACGACTGGCCATACATGTGAAGCTTCCTATGCAGTTGAATACCGTAAATCTTGAAAATAATTCTTAAACGAATGTTATATGCAGCTTCTATGTTATCAGCTTTGATGAATGAAACCCGCTCCGGCGTTTGGTCACGTGCCCAATTTCGTTGCAGACCGGCATCCGGATATTAAATACCCGGATACGATTGCATCTCTATTTGATTGACAGCCTATATCGACACGGCCATAAACATCATTCTGGACCAGCTTCGAACACCAAAAATCGTTCTCGCGCAGGACAATTTCCAATGAGCACCCAGAATAATCAGAGAAAACGGGTCCTGACAGCCTGCTTGGCCTGCCGGGCGAAAAGAACCAAGGTAGAGCAAGTGCCATGAGCGCCATATTCCCCACCACTCTAATGAACATGCTTTCAGTGCGACGGCAACCCTATACAATGCTCAGCATGCAAGTACCGGGAGTCTGATTGTGAATACGTACATGCCCCGAATAATCGCAAGTAAGTCCTTTCCCCGGCTTGGGCGGACCTGGCTTGTTGTTAGGTGGAGGAGGGGCTGATAAGGTCGTGTGCAGACCCCCGAAGAAGGAATTCGTTGCTGCGCTGCAGGCTCGTGTGAAGAGCCTTGAGGCCGAACTCGCCCGAATGCGGGGCTCCGGTGAGGGTGGTGACTTTGCCTCCGTTGCCGATACCGAACCCCGGGAAGCCGGCGACGAAGATGAACGGATGTCGCCGGAGTCCACCACCAGCCATGGCACATCTGGAACATTGTCAGTGGCGATGGAAGAAGTCACTGATATCCTCGGGCGCTTTGCTATTGGGGACGGGGGGGAGCTTTGTTACTTTGGGTCCCGGAGCAATTTGAACCTCTTGAGGAGCGCGACGATCCGATCAACATCGAACAGTGAGATGCAGCGCAGAGGCTACGAGGCGGCCAAGGCCCAGGTGGGACTCGTTGTAGTGTCCCAGGACCTTCAGACGCATCTTCTAGATTTATTTTGGAAGTGGCAGAACTCCTGGCAGTATATTGTTTGCAAAACGCCGTTTCTGCAAGATCTAAGCAGCCACCCCGGCAGCCCCTTCGGGCGATTCTGTTCACCTGCCTTGTTCTACGCCATCTTGGCACTTGCTTCGAGGTATACCGACGATGTACGTGTCAGGACTGATCCGAACGATCCAAACACCGCGGGAGATGCGTTTGCAGCCCAGGCCCGGGTGATGCTTCACTATGAGTGTGAAGCGCCAAACCCAACCACCGTTCAGGCTTTAGCCTTGACGTGCTTGCGCGAGATGGCCGTCGACAAGGAGGCCCTCGGGTGGATGTACTGCGGTATGTGTGTACGCATGGCTATGAACTTGGGGATGCACCTGAACTGTTCGCTGTGCCTCTCGGAGGGAACACTCAGCGCCGAAGAGGCTGAAGTGAGAAACGTGGCATGGTGGGGATGCTACGTGCTTGATAAGTATTTGCTCCCGTTTATTTCTCAGCGATTTAGCTATAACTGGCTGACCTGGAAGTAGGCTCTTCAACATTGGTCTGGGGAGGCCGTCCATGATCCAGGCGCGGGACGTCACAGCTGAGCTGCCGAACACCTGCTGCGTGGAGGAGCTGGAACCATGGCAAGGGACCTCCAGCCTAGTCAATCCCATTTCGACCGCTGCATCTCACAGTATCACGAATGCTATCTATACCTGCAGACTCTTGGGAGCCATGGGCGACATTCTCGACGCTATGTAAGCCTCAAATCTCAACCTAGTACACTTTCTGTAGACATGTGTCAACATCATACGCTAACACACATTTCTATGTAGCTACACTCCGTTAGACAAGAGAACCAGGGTTCAAACCGAAAGTGTGGTGTCGGGAGGTCATTTCAAGCTTCTCAAGTTTTTAGACGATTTGCCGCCGTGTCTAAAGATTTCCAAATCCTCACGTCACCCCTCGCCCCCGCACGTATATCAACTTCAGTAAGCTAAACTTCATACCATGCCATGTTTTGTCTGTTTGACTAACACAACGCATTCTTCAATATCACGTCATCATGATCCTACTTCATCGCCCCTTCCTCAAATCGACTGATTCGTCCCGGGAGTTCGCCTTGTCCGCAGCAAGCCAATCAGATGTTCACACGGTGGCGTGCCGCAAGGCCGCTCAATGGATAGCCAGGATCTTTCGGATATATATGAAAAACTTTTCTCTCGTAAGTATGCGGTCTCTTACTGAACTTCCGTTGTCGCTGATGAGATGACCAAGCGCACAATACCAATCTCTGCGGTACACTGCGCTTTTACGGCTGCTGTGATATTCCTCGCAGATGCCACGTCGGGGGACAATGATCTTCGAAAAGAGTCTCTGAAGGACCTTGAGACTTGCTTCGAGAGCTTGCAGAGTATGAGTATCGCATGGGGCTGGAGCAAGCGTGCCATATCTGCGTTGCAACAGATCGCTAGACGGTGGGACGTCGAGATCACTAGCACAGACGGAACTTGTGTTTTGGATGAGACAGCCACCTATCAAATCGGTGGGGATGGCGAAGACTGTTTTTCCCGCCTTCTATCGGAAGCGACGGCTCAGCAATCGGCGGACAGTTGGCTGGACCTGGGTACTTACTTGGATCACCCCGCAGAGTGAATTGGCCCTCATTCTATATGGCTTGAGTATCACGAAGTGGGTAACTCTGCAGACTCAGCATTGCGAACTAGCTTTGTTTCACTGGTCGTAGTATGGCAATGGATGGGTTGCTGTACCTTGCTCTCTGGCAAGGTTGACTGATCTCCTTGTTGTTACTGACTTATGTGTGCAATATGTTCAAGCAGCTGGCTTCGTGTCCGTACCTAGTAGTCATGAACGGGTTATCATCCTACCACCTAAGGCAAGAGGAAACCCCAGTCCACAGTGACCGGGAAGAACTAGGAACCCGATCCCATGCCGAGCCGACATACTTCTACCCCAGATTCTCTGAAGCTTCCCCGCAGTGGGCCCTGCATACAGTCCGTTGCGTTGACAGCGTCCGCCCCTGACTTTGTGGCCCGAAAAAGGCAAAAAAAGGGGCTTTTTGCTAAAAAACCACCAAATCGCCCCAAACTTCACACCTTCATAGCTCTATGCGTACGCAATGCGTACGAATAAAAAAGATATCGTTATAATCACCTAATCGAGGGCTATTAATTGATATACTTTTTATTCGTACGTATTGTGTACGTATAGAGCTATGAAGGTATGAAGTTTAGGGCGATTTTAAGGGGGTTTTTAAGCGGACAGTTCAACGCAACGCGCCAGGGGTTTCGTTTTTTCTTTTCAGCGTTGCGTTTAGTGTCCGCTAGCCCAAAAACCCCCTAAATCACCCTAAACTTCACACCTTAATAGCTCTATGCGTACGCAATGCGTACGAATAAAAAAGATATCATTATAATCACCTAATCGAGGGCTATTAATTGATATACCTTTTATTCGTACGTACTGCGTACGTATAGAGCTATTAAGGTGTGAAGTTTAGGGCGATTTGGTGGTTTTTAGGCTAGTGGAAAATTTTCCTTCCGGGTCAAAGTCGGGGGCGGACGCCGTCAACGCAACGGACTGTATGCCATACCCCACAAACGCTATCCGGGCATGCATTACCCGAGCGGTTATCCGGATCAGCAACACCCAGATTCAACCGTGCATGATATCTCTCCCTATCTTTAATGCCTGCAAGAAGAGGTGACATCTCTTCCCCGCGCCCAATGTTTCTATTCTCACAAGGGTTTTATCGGTACAAGAACTAAAGTACTCTGATAGGGGAGGAAGATGAGATAGTATTACTTGCAAAGATAATATCTAATCAATCACGGTGCGACAACTGCGAAAAGATCCAGCAACATAAAAGATCGTCTTTTCCAGCCGTTTGAACTCTCACCTGGAATTCTACACTCAGCTTTTCCGCTATCCTCCAGCCTGTCTTTCTCATTTTATTGTAGCCCTTTGAAACCACCTTCAACATGTCTATTCGTCAATGGAAAGCCGCCGTCTGTCAGTCGGAGCCCTGCTGGTTCGACAAGGACGCCACTATCGAGAAGTCGCTCAAGCTCATCAGGGAAGCCCGCAGCAACGGCGCCTCCCTCATCGCATTCTCAGAGGTCTGGGTCCCCGGGTACCCCAACTTTCTCTGGTCGGGAAACTACAAGGAGAACATTCCGCTCGTCCAGAAGTACATGCAGAACAGCATCACGGCGTACGGGGACGAGATGCTACGGATCCGCCAGGCCGCCGCTGAGAACAAGATCTATGTCGCCTTTGGCTTCAGCGAGCGTGTAGGTGCTAGCTTGTACCTGGCACAGGTGCTTATAAACTCCGAAGGCAATATCTTGCTTCATCGGAGAAAGACAAAGCCGACCCATGTCGAGCGGACCATTTTTGGTGACGCCACGGGAGACTCCCTGACCACTGTCGTCGACACGCCTCTGGGCAAGATTGGAATGCTGAATTGTTGGGGTAGGTTCTTTCGCCGGGTTTCTTCTTCTAAATGCCATCCCGCTGACCCCATATCTAGAGCATCTGCAGCCTCTTCTCAAGTACCACACCTACTCCCAGGGCGAGCAGGTGCACATCGCCGCATGGCCTTTCAACGGCGAGTTCAACGGCGGCATCGAGCCATGGTCGCTGTTCGGCGAGGCCAACGAACTTACTGCGAGCCGCATGTACGCTCTCGAGGGTGCCGTCTACGTCCTCTGCACCAACCAGCCGCTGTCTGCCGAGGGCGCGCGGCTCAACAGCGAGGGTCAGGGGAGCGCCGACATGGACAGCTTCATGCTGAGTGGTGGCGGAGGCCGGGCCGCCGTCTTTGGCCCGGACGGCCGACAGCTTACCGAGCCCACGAAGCCCACCTACGACGGCCTCATTTACAGCGACATTGACCTTGACAAGATCGACTACGCCAAAACACTGACCGACTGCGTGGGTCATTACTCGCGGCCGGACCTGCTCCGTCTCGTGGTGGACGACCAGCCCAAGAACTTCGTCACGAGGGTATCGTCAGACAAGCCCACCAACTCGCCCTACATCTCAACTACGGGGGACGAAACTCTGCTTTCGACTCACAAGACGCTTCGCGAGATTCTTCGGGCTAAGAACAAACTGGAGGATTCTGACGCGTCCGTCGTCGATGTTTCGCAAGCTTAGGTATCCATGGATATCATAGAGCTAGCTTATGATTACAGCTTTTCCGATGTAATACACAAGATCGACCGATCTGAATGTCTTGACAACAATTTTGTACACGATTCCACTTGCATCCTCCCCCGCGTGAACAAATCACGCTTCTAATACTTTTTCTGATATGCTCTAATACACCTTTCGTGCGTGATATTCGGCATCCACTGAAACGTGTCAAATAAAGCTCCTTTTTTGACTGTCTTTGATCCATGAATTTGTACAGTGTACTCTGCCCTTATCGTTTCGTGCATTTGACCAGGATCACAATTTCTTGTACCACCCCCGAGCGCACTAACTCGATCTTTGGAATACCATTGAAAGGTTTTTCCGCCCTCGCCATCAAACCTTATGCATCATGCACTAGGACTCGGGGAGTACAGTAGCACAACGGGCTGGAGTTTGCGGAGTCCTCAGCCACTGCGAGCGGCTTGGCCGTCAGCCGAGTGTCACAACCAAACCGGATCAGAATACCACAACAGAAAGGACGAAAAGTCTTCAGCAGCCAAGATTAGTGAGCATGTCTCTGGAGATTAACACATCAAAGCACCAGATAAATGAGGAGGTCACCAGGGTACCAGCTGAAAGTTCGAGAAGCGGGGAGAAGATCCTATCCGTTGTGCCTGTGTAAGGATATGCTATGCTTGTCTTGAGCTCTCAGCCTTCATTTGCCAAGGATGACTGCTTGAATCTCCGTACCACACAAGGTGTCAGCACTAGGTCTCTGCATCTACAGCCTCATGGTACAAGCTGCTATCGGTTGCAAAAGGGGGCCCCGAATGGATTTGAACTTGGGTAGGTCTTCTGCAAAATCGAAGCAAGAAGCAGACTTTCGCTGTACTGTGGCGTGGTCAAATCAGATGCTACTGAGAAGGTTGCCTATGGCTTCAACATCTTGGTATCATAGATTGCTTAGAGAATCTTGTTCGGATAGTCAATACGTGATCCAATCCTTCGGTGTATGTCGGGTTCTTTTGCGTTAGAAACATGAGTATTGGGTTGGAGACAAGATGTGGTGATCTCCCGTGTGAAACGCTGCACAATTACCGACCTCATATCATGATTCAGTGTGGTTTCACGGTAGTGCTCCAGACTAGTATGTGAAGCGATGCGCATGTTATCCAACGAGAGCGCCTGTAATGAATCGACGTTGCTGATTTCATGATACGTGATCTACGTATGTAGACCCTCGCATGCGATCTCAAACAAAACTTGATTCCTCGACATTATATGCACCATTACTTCTTCACTAGCTGTGACTGAGCGTTTAACAACATGTCTTCAACAGCATACTATCATTCAGTGAGCAACGTGGAGACCGAAGGTACTCCAGACCTTCAACACCAGTCAACTGCACAACGGCCACAAATTGATGATGAATTCGACAACAATTCCGAGGCCGAGTGCGGACGGAGCCCCAATATCGAAGGAAGTAATATCAGGGCCTCAGATCCCAAAGATGAGGAGCATACCAAAGGCTTTCGTCTTAGTCCTGGCTTCATCGATCAAGAATCATGGGTAATCAAACTTCTCTCATGGACATGGGAGATTGTCTTGACAGCCTTACCGCTCTTCTTCATCGGTACGGTCTTTTAGGCCCCATTTCTCGGCTGTCGATCTAACATTGTGCGAAGCTGTTTCTATCCTTGCCCTCCAACTTGACCAAAAGGTCAAGTCATCCTCGGAGTATGGTGTGAGGCTCGAAGAGATAACACGCCTCGGCCCAACCATCTATCCCATTCTGTTCGCCATGGTGGTAGCCAGATTCTATAGGAACGTTGCTCGCTGGCATCTTGAACGACCAGGCGGTATCACAGTTTCATCACTGGAGCAAATTGTCGGCAGCCAAAGCTTTGCCAGCGCTTTGGAACGTTTGATCATTGTCCGGGCGCAGCTATTATTAGGAGCTCTTATTCTATTGAGCTGGGCAATGTCGCCTTTGGGCGGTCAAAGCTTGCTGAGGCTACTTTATATCGACGGAAAGGTTTCCAAGGCCAATGGTACGGTATATTACGACAATAGGGCCTATCAGCGACCTCTTTACTTTGATATGGACAAGTGGACCTATGGACCGTCAGACGTTATCCCGGCTCTGTATTCTACCAGCCTTCTATCACCTAGGAAACAACAGCAAGCGCCTATGGATACATGGGGAAGACCGAAGATCCCACAGTGGCCATGGAACCCGGCGCAAGATATTAAAAAAGCGGAAGAGACCAGTCGCGAGGTCAATGGTAGTGCCTTGGAAGCCGGCAGGGACTATTACACGTCACTAATAGGGATCAACATGCAAGGCTTGAGCTTCAGCGACAACTCAACACAATACGAGTTCGACTTCGAGTCCGGATACATCGATTTCAACTGTTTTATGATCACAAATCAAGCATCACTAGATGATCTTAAGAAGATGACATATCCCATAGATGGAAACTGGACAGGCGGTAACCTTTGGAAAGATTGGTCGGTGTACTGGGAAACCCAGAAAAAGGAACCAAGTTTCAATGCTGTTACCGTCAGCCCAGCCAGCCTCTTCGACAATCCGTATCTTCTATATGCAACTCAACAAGTCTCAGAAGAGCGAAATAAACACGCCGTCTTCAATTGCACTACTGCCACAATCAACCTCCGAACCAGCTTGATTTGTACACCTCAGGGATGCAGGCCACAGCGACAGCGTCGAATACGAGCACTGCAGATGAGCGAGGGCGATCTTGACCGCCGACTGACTGCTTTCCAAAATGCCGTTCGGGAGTGGCCACAAATGACAGCCGTGGTAACAGGCAGTGCATCGGCAACAGACAACTACATTGCTAATGACGAGAACGCCTACGGCCCTCAGTATGCCCAAAATTGGACGGGAGTTGACGATGAAATGTTTTCCAGACGGCTCACTGCAGCTTTCAATACTGTTTGGGAGGCAGGATCAGACGAATACAATCTTACGAAGTCGTCCTCAGCCTTACCTGAAAACCCCGCCGATTTCTGGACCAATCAAACAGAGGCAACAATCACTACGACTGAACCAGCATACTACGTGAATAAACTGTGGGCAGTCATCCTAATTCTTACGACAATCTTTCTGCAAGTTCTCGCCATTTGTGGTCTTGTCCTGAAATGTTTGATCCGCGGTCCAGACATCCTCGGCTTCGCCAGCTCTCTCACTCGAGACAACGCATTTGTGCCAGTATCGGGCGGTTCATTCCAAGGCGGTGCAGACCGGGCAAGATCACTCAGAAACATGCGGGTTCAACTTGTAGACGTCCAGCCCGGAGAAAGTCACGGCTACATTGCGTTGAGTGCAGTGCCTCTAGTAGCCTCCGCGGGAGAAGGCAAGGACGGGGACAAGGAAGCAAGCTCGGGTTTGGGACAGCTGGAGAAGCAAAGAATGTACATATAGCGCTGGTTTGATGTCTAACGACACACCAAATCTCTAAGCAATCCCGCAAGACCTTTTTCGGCACCAGATGATGAAGCTCTGGGGCTGCCGCACGGCATAAGGAATCTAGCTCGGAGTTCTGCTGGACAGTCGTCAACTCAATCAGCCACTTCGGCATCCCCGACACCTTTATAATTCCAACCGCTACCACCAACGCCACACTCACTCCCCCGTCAAGCCCCATGGGTTGCGATCCGCTTGCATCCTACAAACCCAAATCAGCTGACCGCGCATCAACCACAAAGAGGCGTTATTCCTGTGTATGAACACGGTCATGTGAGCGCAGTCCCGCTGGAAATGCTGCAAGTTGCAGTGTAACAATCTGCCCCTTGGGAACGGCGTAGTCCGGACTCTCGTCACATCGAAAGTGTAATTTTGCGCGTGATTGCAAGGAACATCTATGTCGTCAACTTTGAATCTCGACGTAGAGGGATTATTTAAACCCCTTTGATACTTACTTCCTCATTCTATAGCAAATACCACCCGTAATCACCAAACGCAACTACCTCAACCAAACCCTCCACGATGAAATTGATCCTGCTCCTATCCGCAATCGCTCTCGTTGGGGCCTCCAAACGTCCTGACCCACTCCCACAAGCCTCTAACGACACAGTTCCATCATGGTGTAAGTAAACCTTCCATTCCATAAACCTCAATACGTGCCATGTCTGACCGAGAACAACACTAGGTTAACGGGATGTCGATGCCCGGGAAGGATTGGGGAGTAACTACAAATGCAGTGATGGGAACATAAGTAAAGCTTTTGTCTACTAGTTCTTGGGAGAGGATCCGTTGCTGACGGAACGTTAGGTGAGGCCAGACGGTGGTGCTGGCTCTTGTTGTGGATGGCTTGTTCATCGTTAGTACAGCGACGAAGGCTCAGTATGGAGAACGTGTGAGGCGGGCATTCGGTGGCACCAGGAAGTCTGACGGTGAATTACGAATCGAGATCTCTATTGGGTATTCTACCCCGATTTCTTCTATGCTCTTAAGGAAAGGGTCGTCTCTCGCCTCTTTCGTAACTGCGTATCACACTTTTAATCAATTTCTATTCCAACGACAACCCGGGAGACCGGGTCCTGGGTAACTCCTGCGGACCGTCCCAATCGTTCTCCGTCGGCCCCCATCGTCCCCCGTCATCCCTGTCGTCGTCGTCCTTGTTGTTGCTGTTGTTTCGCTTCGCTATGAATGTTCGGATTATGAATACCGCATTAAGAATAAACCAGTAAGATGGTATCGAGCCTTGCCACACGTGTGGAACAAGGCTGAAAGGAATGAATGTGGAATGGAGAAGGTCATAACGTTCTGGTGTCGTTTACACGATATCACCTGTCCTCGCCCTGCTGGAACTACGCGGCCTGCCCCAGAATTTACGCCGTTGGGATCCGGTACCGGAATCGATGCTTTGTCTTCCGGGGTGCGCGACCGAACTACTGCTCGCAACAGGCTCGAGATCGACACGCTCTCGAATACTCTGCAGACGAGAAACGTGGGGTTGCTGTGCCTCCCTACGAGATTCGAAGACGTCCTGGAAGTCGCTCCAGTTCTCGTCGACAAAAGGAACGTTGCCGCGCGAGTCGGCACGCGAACGAGTAGCCACGGCGCGGTGCGGAACAGACCTTTGAGAGTGGCCTCCGTCGGGAGTCGCAGGCGGGCCATCGCTGGGGCCTGCATTGCTGGCGGAGTTGTAGGATGGAGGAGGGGCACTGCCAGTCCAGAACAAGGGGTACTCGCGGGAACCACCAGGCTGCACCTGCCAAGGGCCCTGCATGCCAAGGTCGCGGATCTCGGCCATGAGCTGGGCTGCAAACTTGTTGTGTCTCTGGAGACGGAGCAGTTCGTTCTGGAAGTTGGTCTTGTGGAAGAAGATGAGGTTCATCGTGAAAGACTGCACTTCGTTGAGGGTTTTGACTTCGGTAATGATACGAGGCTGGTAATCGCGCTTGTTGTCGAGACAGAAGTTGAGCATGCGGGACTTGAGATCCTCGATAAGAGCCGGATCAGTGCCGAAACCAAGCTTCAACTCAATGGGATCGGCGAGACCAGCAGAACGACGTTGGTTGAGAATGAAGAGGGTGTTGAGCACGCTGTTGGGAGCTTGAACAATGTGACCCTCCATCTTCTTGAATTCGGTGTACAGGAGAGAAATCTCAGTAACGTAGTAGTCGTCGCCAGTTCCGAGAGTGCCCGTGTTGCCGTAGATAGTGACACGGTCACCTACATCGAAGGGGTGCTTGACGAAGACGAAGATGATGGACTGGAGGAACTCCTGAGCAGTAGCCTGAAGCATCCAAGCGAGACCAAGGAAACTAGAGCCAGCAGAGGCAAGGCCGGCGGCGGCAGAACCAGAGAGGATAGAGATAAAGACGATGATGGCAATGATGACAATCATAAAGAGGAAGACCTTGTCAAGCTTCTTGATAACGGAGTCGAGATCCTTCAGGGAGGCAGCAATGGCCTTGCGTTCCAGGTGAATTTCGTTGCAGGTTCCCTCCATCTCGTCCATGGAAATATCACCATTCAAATCCTTGTCAAAGATGCCGAAAGCGTGCTCAGCCTCCTCCGCGGTCTTGAAAGCAACCTGCATGTCCTCGAGGTAAATAGTGTCTTGGCCTTCCTTGACCAGACTGCGAAAGATGAGACGGGCCAGTGCGTGGGCAGAACCTGTGTTACGCAACATCTCATAGACGATCTTGCGGGCATGGTTGAAGGCAACCTTTCGTCCTATGAAATCGTTGCCTACACGGGCTGCCACGCCTCCAGCCTTGTTAAAGGCGTAACGGACGTTCTTTCCAACGACGCCCATGGGGGTACGGGATCCTGAAGGACCTCCGGTTTCGGTCGTCTGCCAGATGGAATCCTCGCGGGCGATACGCATCTTGGAGTGTTCGTAAAGGTGGACCAAGTGGTCGATATCGCTCTTGTTGGTCTCGATTCTCTGAACGTAGGTACGCTGGTGGAAAGACGTGGCGATCCATTGAATGCAAATCTTCTCGACCCAGTTGAGGGCAGCCAACACCAGCAGTGCGATGATAATCTTGCGGACGATGTCGATCCACTGAAGTTTGGGGAGGTCGGACGAATCGCCATCGAAGCCGTCCGGCACCACGCGGTGGTCCTCGATAATTGGGGAGAATGAGCAGAGGATGGCGAGCATCCACATGAAAAGGGCAGTGTGAAGCTCGAGACCCTGTCCGACATCCTTCCACTTCTTGTGGTTAGACGACCCCATTACAATGGCAATGCCGCCGAATATGAGGGGGATGAAACTCGTAATCATGCGGGAAGTCCACAGAGAGCACCAGAGAACCTCGAGCCAGATACCGAACCAAGTCAGATAGACACCAGTTGCACCTCCGACGGTGGCGCTATCGGGGTTGACAACAAGAGCACCCATGAGAACGGGGATGAGCAGGAGGGCTGCTCCGGGGATCATGTAAACCGTGTATCTGAAGCATCGGGGAAACTTTCGAAGCCACTTCCAAATGGCGAAGGCAAAGGCGCCGGCCTTCTTCTCTGGTGCTGGTTTCTCTTCCTGTTGATTTGGGTTCAAGTCGCCCGCGAATACGTCTTCGGGTTCGCCCTGGTGGGTTCTTCCCTTGTGAGAGCGACCCTCGTGCTCCTGATTTGACACAAATCGTTCGGCGCGCAGTAATTCCAGGTCGTCGTTTAAACGAGACGCCTGCTCCCTCGTGCCGGAGGGGGACATCGTCTGGGGGCGCATATCGTCGTCACCCGGCAAGGGCAACAGCTGATCCGTGTTAAGCCTCGACATCTTTTCGCCCTGCGGGGGCGGTTGTGAAGGCTCCGTCGCCGTTTGTAAGGAGTCGGACGTGTGGGCGGAGCCCTTCTCGTCGTGCACCTCCGAGTCGGAGCGCTCACGATTTGTTGCCATACTGGGCGGTTTGGCCGCGTTGGCCGTGTCAAAATGAAGACCGGGGACGACAACGGACGACAGCAGAGATGGAGGACGAAGACGAAGACGGTACCAGAGATGAGGGTTGTATTGGGGGCGGAATGGTAATAAAAGTTGTGATAAAGCCCAATTGACGTAGGATTAATAGGTTCTCTGGAGAAACCAGTGGAAAGGGTGAATGACGAAATCCAACTACCTGGATGAGTAGGAGGCGTCTGTTTGGTCTGGAACCGTTGCGGTCGCTGTATTTCTCGGTGTGCCAATAACACCGAGATCTGAGCTTAGATCTGACCTTTTCGGCCAAGAAGAGGTGAAGTTGTCGGTCGGGTATTCGGCAGGAGCAGTCCTCTTTCCCCGTGGGTGAATACCTGGGAGAAGGTGCCGATGGGGAAGGAAGAGGAGGGACAAGACTGGGGAAGGAAGCTCTGAAGCTCTGAGAGGGAAGGGACGTGTTGATGAAATATCTTGGGTAGGCGCGACCGGGATGGCACCAAAAAGGGTAACCACCAGCAAATGGCAATCAGTCGCGGGAAGGAGCACAGGACAGTGGAACCTGGACTGGGACTGGGACTGGGACTGGGACTGGGAATGGGACAATGGGAAACCCAGCGCGGAGCGGAAATCTTAGCATCAAGGGCGCGGTGCGGTGGCAGCAGAGGCAGAAAAAGCTCCAGCATCTCCAGTCTCTGCAAGTCCCTGGCCTTCTCGGTCATTTAAGAAACAGGGACTCTACGAGGGAATTATGGAGACCTCATGGAGTCTGGCCGTGGTGTGAACCTACGACCCCAGCAATCCCGTGTTTGAGCTCAATGAACCAAGAGCGCGCGCGCTGGGACGTGGATGGGGGGATCCAGTTTATTCCACGCCTGCATCTCTCTGACTCTTGTCGTCGACGGTCGTCCTATCGACTCGCCTTGCCTCTACATCTGCACCCTCCTTGACGGCGGTGCCCAGATAAAATTGGGTGACAGGATGCTGATCTCTGCTTGGGGTCCGTGGCTCGCTGGTGGCTCGTCATAACATTAAAAAAATTAAAGCGGGCCCT